GACGCCCGAGCCTGGAATCGCCGTGCCGTCGCCGTGCCATCGGCATCCGCACTCGAGACTCGAGCTTTCCGTTTCTACGGCTCTCGGCATCGGAAGCGACTCCTTCGAGCGACCTCGACGTCGCGTCCACGTGCGACTCGAACGCACGAAGTCGCGAGCGGTCGAACGGACGGAAACGGGCAGACGATCCGGTGCGACGGCCGGATCGTGCCGCCGCCTCTCGTTTCTCGAAGCGTCCTCGCCTCTCTTCCTCCGGGAACCGGTCGTTCTCCTCGCGTCGCCTCGGCTCGGCCGCGAGAGACTCGGTCGCGTTCCGAATCGCCATCCTCGCGTCGGACTCGGAGGAGCCGCGTCGTCTCCCGGCACGCATTCGATCCTCGTCGCGCGCGTTCCGTCCGCGACGATGGATTCCCGCGTCCCGATCGCTCGCGGCGAACGGGATCGGAGGGAAGGAAAGAGCCGCGAAGAAAACCGTGCGGACCCGAGCGAAACGGAATCGCTCGTCCGACGTGGGGGGTTCGGGTTTCGATCGCTCGCTTCCCCGAAACGCGAACGAAGCTCCGAAGTCCGAGGGAACCCATCGTCTGTTGGCTCAGACGTCGGGTGCGGTAAGAGAGATGGAAGACGGGAGGTAGCAGTTCCTCGTGGACCCGTTCGACGATCCCGACGATCCCTTCGATCCCTTCGATCCCCTCGATCCCCTGCCACGTTGCCACCCCATGGGGTGTTTCGTTTATGGGCCTCGTAAAAACCGCGCTCGCGGTCGTAATTCCGTCCCGTGGGCCTGCGAAAACAAAAACCTCGCCCGGGGACGCGACACGCACCGGGAATCCAAGAACGGTTCGCGTCATCCGTATTCGCGTTTAAACTTTCCCGAATTTTTTTAGCTCGAAAATGACGTTCCGGTTGTTGCCGGAGAGAAAGAGTACCGGTGGAAAGTACCGTTCGAAAGTCGCGAACGTTCCGGGCTCTGGCGTCGAACCGAACCGTGCCGTTTCGAGTGTCTTCGCGGAGGAAATGGACTCTTCCTCGAGAGACGTCTCGATTGGACCGTGCGAGGGAAGCCTTTTTAAATACCTCATCCAAATTAGGCATTAAATGGACGTTCGGCGACGAGAAGGTTCGGCTTTTCGGCTCTATGACGCCCTCGACGAACGCTCGACTCGGTCCGTTCGCCACGAAAATCGTCGGAAACCTCCCCGACACTTCGAGAGAAGCCAGGTCCGAGTTCCCGTATTCTCCACGCGAGCGATGCGGTGCATGCCCGTTCGCTCGTTTCCGTGGAACCAGACGAGGACGGCGTCGAAAAACGCATGGAACCCACCGACGACCCTATCTATTTTTACGATCGCATCGAGAAGGGGTGAGAGCAGAACGGGAGGGAAACCCTGGAATTTATTGCCCCTGCCTCATCCGCCGGGCTCACCGGCCCCCTTTCGAGGAGATATTCCACAATTTGGATCCGGAAGTGGGTATACCGGATACACGCGTCTCTACCGGTCCGGTGTCACCGCACTCGTCACCGTCGCGAGAAGCCGAGCCGTTCTCTCGTTCGCCTTCGCGAAGCACGATCGGATGGAGACGTTCCGGAAGACGACAGGATCGGACACCAGAGGACGGGAGGATTTCTCGTCGACGGCGAAGCTCGAGCGTCGAGAACGTCGTCACGGAGTCCAGTTTTTTCAAATCGTCGTCCGACGACGAAACGTCGACATCGCACCGAATGGAGACGCATTCGTCGCGGGGGGCTCCATTCCTCACGAAGGCTATTTTTTTTCACGAATGCGTTCGTGCGCGATCCTCATAGGCGATGCGGAGGGGGAGGAGGAAGCCCACGGCCATGTGTCGGATGCGAGATGGAAGAGGAAGGGATGAGAGACGGCGGGAGTCACGTTTTTCCCCTTTACGGCCGTGCATAAATCGCATCCAGATGAGCTCCCCCTCGGTCACGATCTCGGACGATCCCTTCACCGGGCCCCTCTCCGAGCGACATCATCACGCTTCGCATCCCACTCCATCGGGGTCGACTCGACGAGGACGAAGTTCGAAGAAGGAAGAGGTCGTAAAAGCGTCCCGCGCAGACGTTCGAGAGATAAAAATTCCAAGGATCGATTGCCACCGCGACCGGGGGACGGGCACACGTTTTGACACCTAGCTGTAAATCAGACTTGCCACTTTTGACTCGGAATGAGTTTACTGCTCCATTCGATTGCCCCCTTTTTTCTTCTCTCTTTACAACGGGCCTCATGCTGTTGACCTCCGGTGTTTGCGAGAGGCGGAAAAACAGGTTCGTCGAGGACGAAGTCGCTCGGAAAGACCTCCTCGTCTGCCTCTTCTTTAGGACCGAGACGGGGGAGGGATAATAACCGTGGTCAGTGAAGGACGAGCACGTCCCCGAGGGGGAGGGATCATATTTCAGGGAGGGGGGAAGGGGATATTTCATTTTGGAAAAGCCTCGACGGGAGGTTAAGCCAGACAAATCATGAGGACCTCGGGGGAATAATCTCCTACAGCTACAGGTATCATCACCCGCCGAGGAAGAAATGCTTAATCTGCCCTCAAGCCGGATGAAAGTTCCAACGAGGACACGAAGGGACACTTCTCTGCATTCCGATCGACCACCCCAGAATGACTTTTCCTTCGGCTGCCTTCACGTGATGCTCTTTGTATTCGTGCCTTGACATACTTCGCTGTCGATTTGAAGCACGTCGAAGGCTTTAATCATCGGGTCACTCAAATTCTATGTTCGATCTGAAATAAATTCATATAATTTTGGGCTCGTAATTTAGCACATTGATGCATAAAATATGAAACCTGTAATCTCAATTTTAACCCACTGCAGCAACCAGAATTTGTGGCTCTTGTTTCTAGAGAAATTTGGCCGATTATGTATTTTTCAAACGACTGTTCGGCGGGTTTATATTGAAAATTTTTTTTTAACTAACACCATCAAAGTTTTTTAACTAACTGCATAACGAACTCGAATTAGTCGCGTTTCCTGATTTGCTGGAATGCGGCATAACAAAGTGCGAGTCACAAACGCCTCCGATTTATTCCCCTTCAACTCGCTCGAGGGGGTGTGGATTATGTCTGCGCTTGACTCAACACCATCTTTCTACTAGAGTCGATGCACCATTTCTCTTCAGTCTCGGCTGTGTATGAATCATCGTGAAAAATGTAAACATGTGGACCGGAGATGCACATGGCCGTGCATAGGGCCTAAATACTTCCCATCCATGCGAGCCCATCATTTCCAAACAGCTGTGAGTAAACTCATGAAGGAAAGCCTTCATCGGATGGAAGAGGTAGCAATGCAAAACCCTCGACAAATATGGAATATAAAAGTCAATGGGTCAAGGTGAAAGATCACTTTACTATATTGAATTCTATCTTTCTCTATCTGAAAAAGAAATCGGGGAGATCAATCAACCAAAATGATAAGTTCGGTCTGTCATCTGAATATACCTCATCTAATCTGACCAGAGTCTCTTCCGTTGCGGGTACGGATACCCCACTCCATTTGGCACTGTCAAGACTCGGGCGTATCACAGTTCCTCGGGCATGGCACCAGGGTGCACCTTGATTCAAGAACACGGGAGAGGTGACGTCTTAAGGGCCCGGGCCCACTCGTCCATCGTGGGTGCACACCTCAGGGTGGAGAGGCCCAACTTCCGCCTCCCCATGAAAAGGTGCTCCTGGCTCCCAGACGGCTTGACCCCACACTTGAGGGGAAGGTACACCCTCCTCTCGTTACTAGGCACCTCGTTCGTCTCATCGTGGGATGCCTCCCTCAACACTTTGGTCACGGCGATCAGGAGTCCGGTTTTCTCCTCCTCCTCGTTCGTCTCCATCCCGCGAACCACGCCTCGATACACTGCAACCATACAAAAGGGAAAATTAGCTGCTAGTGGATGAAATTGGAACACGGGAAGACGATATTGGCTGCAGTCGAATGGCATGAGCACTCGAAAATAACCTGCCAATTTCGGATGAAGTATGAACACTCAAAAACTAAGCAGCCATGTTACGTGAAATAGAAACGCATTAAAAAAAAATGAAAAGACCGTGTCAAACGAAACAGGAATGTGCAAAAAAAAAGGGGAGCTTTCTGACGGAATAGGAACGCGTGAAGAGCGCAATCAGGAGAGGATAATCATCGAGGACACGTGCACCTGTGGTCACTTCCCCCCCCCCTCCCCCCCTTCCACCTGCCGCAATAAAATGAGACGGAACATATGTATGTACAGGGTAGTTCATAGTCTGTCTCCCCTCTTCCTGTCCCCATGTTGTAGACCTACTTTGCCTCTTCACTTCGAACGCCTCGGTCCGCCATGCCTTCATGAAAAGACGATCAGGGCATGAAACGTCAACTGAATATACGTAGTATGCGAAATAAAGACCCGAGACTTTTAAACGAAATTTGTCCATTGGAGGTACTAATATGCTCCAAATCCGTTTTGTCAAAGCAAGGCTACAAGTGATAACTAATATAGGTTTAATATTGAATATGGGTGGGGGGGTGAATCATGGTGGGAGTCGAGTGGAGGAAACGCCTCAGCGCTGAAGCTGCATTATAACGATCAATAACATATATTCTATTAAAGACTCATTGCTCTATGGCTGACCTTTTGTTGAATGTGGGTTAGAATGAGTCCCCTCCCCAAATAGACATGTTGGCTGTCGCGCGTATCACCAGCCATTCGTCTGGTCCAATATCCATTTCCCACGGGAACTTTTTTTTTCATTAAGGATGCTTCAGCTTCTCTAAGAAAAATGTATTTAGCGCTAACAACTGCATGTAAAAGGTAGCCAACGCGTCGATGAGGTTTTCTTTCAAGAGTCTCAGATTTTCGCCTCGTTTACTTCTGACCAGGTGGCAGGTGTGATGCCTGCGCGCCGGGCTCTTTGATATTGCTTCATTAGCAAAAGAAACAAAGATGCAGATAAGAGAAGAAAAACCAAAATTGCCTCAACTGAGCCCCGCTAACGTATATTTTACGAAAATGTTTGAGTATCGGAGCAAATACCATTAAATCTCTGTCGCAAAAAAGCTTCCTGCCTCGGTGGTTCCTGCCATTACGCATTCAGTAGCTTCGGTCCTTGTCTTTTGTGTAATGGACGAGGATTTACAATGGCCTGTAAATCATGGCTGGTAGGCCGAAGCATCTTTTATTCAAGAGTCAGGACGCCTTTCCTGAATACAGATCGCCCATTGTGTGCCGACCGGCATTTCTCATCCCTTCTCTCTTTCTCCCTCTCCGAACTATGGAGCCTTCAATTTACATGGGAAAAATCACCCTCAAAGAATTCATTCTGGAGCAACTGATAGGAATAAGGATGAATCCCATTCTACATTTGGGGAAAACGCATTAGTTACTTCCTTCGACAAGAAACGAGATTTAGGGTGGATTTTTGAACAGAAAACTATCCGATAATGCAGCTTTATTCCAGGGAAAATACATTATATTTCCCGGAAATAAAGCAGCATTATCGGATAGTTCTCTGTTAAAAAATCTACCCCTATATTTGCTTTCACGGCTTTCGCAAGCGTCATGTCATACATTTTTCCAGTTTTATTCGGACGATTTCCACTCCCTTTTTCCTCATACACGTGACGCATCCAAGAATATTTTAATATCGCCATTTCGTAATACGTCTGGAATGATTAAGCGGAACTTACGGAATTCGCTGGCGCAGAAGTGGTGAAGCAACTGCTCAGGATCACACGGTCGGCATTCTGCAAGGAGAAAAAAAGGGTTGTTTTTAGCCTCGGGGGAGACTGAAGCATGCATAAGCAATCAGAGAGACTCCGGCCTCTATAGTTATCCCTTCTCTTTCAGGCTACTTCTTCTTCTTCTTCAGCCTGCTTATTACAATAGGGCGTGGGTGCGTGATAAACACTCATCCCCGCCGTCTATCAGACGCCAAGATCCCAGACCCAAGGCTATATAATGCCTTCCTTCTTTTTGCATCTCATCTTTAACGACATACCGTACATCCAGTTCTCAGGAACCGTTAACAAAAATCGTATCGGGTGATACATGTGGTAAACAGATGATGGGGGATAAAACTTCGCAGAACTACGACCTACTCATATCCTTTGCTTCGTGTGGCCTCGACGAGACATCTCTCCGGCATGCAAATGCCTCGAGTCGGCTTTCATTACGGAATCCTCCGGACGGTTGATAAAAAAAGCACTTTTCATCCCTGTCAAGGAATAGACGATCCTGCGGCCTTGCTTCGGACGACTTGATATCTGCTCTCGGGGAATGATAAAGTGCGTACAAGAGAGAGACGATGCGCGCTGTGTAATTACAGAGGGAGACGGTGAGGTAAGGTGAAGGGAATGGAACAAATAGAAGATAACCGAGGGCTCTCTGCAAGTGATAAGGATAAAGGAGCCCTCCTGTGGCGCCCGAGAATCGAACTCAGCCTCAGGACAATATCCGAGGTTCTTTTTTTCCCTTCTCTCTCTTCCTTTTTCATCCTGCCACTACCCGGCCGACAGACGCAATCAATATTCATTCCTCATGAGGTGCAATCACCGAAAAGCCACGGTTATTGAGATAAGACAAGAGAGCTAGCTCATTTTGTGACCAGTGGTTGCAAGGCAAGAAATGAGGTGATCCTCGTGGTTTTGGTTGAGGGTCGCGAACTCGTGTGGAACCAAGACTGAACGTGCAACTGGTGGCACGTAATTCCACGATGATTGCATTAACTTTGTATAACAGCTTCATGTTTTTCTCAAAACAAACATCGACGAAAAGATTCTTCATCTCTGTCATTGAAAGTTATTCATACCATGTTTTCTACTCCTTGCGTGACGAAATAAAAATCAAGATCCAAATTATGCATAGATCCTCGATGATACGAAAACTCTTGAACCACATGTATCCAAGAGCAAATGAAATTGTATAAATTTTGTTCGGCCGACTTCGAAATTTCATTTTTAGACATTGCAACCACCAGGAATTTGAGACAGCAGGTTTTGGTTGCGTAATGTGGCATAGTACCGATTTATGGTCCTTGATGCACACAAATCTTGGGATTTTCCTTCAACGATCCGGAAAATTATTCACTTCCTTTTTGGGAAACTAGAATTCCCTTCGTTACAGAGAATGAGAAACCCTTTACACGGCGTGGATCTCTTTGATAGCAGAGATAAAGGAATTTCCATGTGTGTCTAATAATGAGAAAAGCATTGAAAACATTTTCAAAGACTAGTGCCGATGCAGAACTTTCAGATATCAGTATGAGAACCGGCTTCATTTCGACAAATCCCCAGAACGGTGTGAAATGACCCGAGTCCCTTCCCTCCTATGTAACCTCGCTACGATAGGATGAACTGTTTCGATTTTCTACGGGGCGAAGAGGTCCTTACCATCATTGAGGTGATGGGGAGAGACGAGAGGTTCGAGGTCGTACTGGAAGGTGATCCGAGGTTGAAAGTGGTACTCATGCCTCATCATCACTGCATCCGCTTCCACGACCAATGCCGCACTTCCTCGCCACGACTCGAAGCAAAGTTCTTTCCCTAACACTGGTGACTCTCCATACGCGGAGTGAAGGAGATGAAGAGTTCTATGTCCCTCTAGGTGGATCATGGCACCTCGGGAACCATTCAAGACTCGGATGCACCCTCGGAATTCACCCCCTGCTCCGGGGTTTAGGATCACCCTAAGAGCACCTCGGGGGTAACTCCAGTCTACTTGCCCCTGATGGCAGCGTAGGTGAACTGGGAACACCTCACGACTCCCTTCTTCCACACCCAGACCACTGAAAAAGGACAACAACGATTAGAGCCCGACAAGATGACAAAATCCCACTCCCCTTTAGCCCTTGTAACATTGCCTACAGAGAAATATTTGTGCCGTTTTGCACATTTCGGATGGGAAGGGAGGGTGGCGGGGGAAGAATGCAATTAACGGGAGAAGGGGAGGGAATTCTTCCTTGACATGACCGTCTAACAAATGACGGGAGAAACTGGCTCCTCATTCCACGGTTATGTCACGTGACTCCAGACTATCTCTCTCTCTCTCTCCTTTTGCCGCCGCACACTGTCGGAGGGGGAGGAAAGTTGAAAACGAAGGTTCCTTCTCGTAAATGATGCAAAGGAGGAACGAGAGAGAGCAACAATGGAGAGCCGAGGGGGATATCCAGTCCTCATTTCATAAACATGAGAGGCGATATAGGCCTGGGCTGGAAAATGCCTTCGGGGAAGATGAGGGGAAGGGAACAGGTTCCGACACACTCCGCAACAAGGCCTCAGGCCCCGCTGTAATCCCGTGCGCGTGTCCGATAACAACTTCACGTCTCTCTTCTCTATATATAAAATACCTCTTGTCCCCGTGTACAAGTCCGAGCTCCTTCGCTTACAGGCAACTGAAGTTCAGACACGAGAAGGCTACAGTAAATCCAGCGGTGGCAAAGATCAATTTTCTTTGTGAACGAGGCCAGTCCGATCGGGCATCCCTGATTTGCGTCACTCGTAAGATTACGGCATCCACTTGGGGCCATAAGATCTCCTAATTAACCTCACTGAATCTCCGAGGTATCCAACAAACACGCTTCAAGGCCGAAAGGGTCATCGCTCATAAGGGGGGATGGGGCCCGCCTACGTTGTCGTCTACTACACGAAGCCTCGAGACGAGCGTCGTAGGGGTGCAGTTGAGATTTGCACGAAGCGAAAAAGAGGGCACAAGAGGTGGTGTCGTATTGCCTGCACGTGGGGAATGCTCGCTGGGCCTTCGGGAAGGCCTGAACATGAAAGGCGCGGTCGCGGTCACTGGCGTCGGGAACGTGATCGCAGACGGCTTGTCACATGAGACAAGTATTTCTGAGTATTTCTTTTCTTCCCAAGTTACACCCTCATCTCCCTCCCCCAAAACTTCTCTCCAAATGCCCGATAAGAAATGGGACCGCAGGGGTGAGGTTGGCGTCAAGGAGTTTAATATTTCAACTTCACACACCTGCAGGAATATTTTTTCCTTACAGGGTTGACTATGCAAGTTTTCCGATTTCATTTACGGCCTGGTGAAAAGTCAATCCAGTACGACAAACCTACCAATAATTACTACGTGGGCAGAGGACACCGAATGTGTCCTCGGCCTTTCCATGTATGAAGCTTACTTCATCTCCGGTAGAAATATCAGTCACGTTACGAAGATAAAATAATTTGGCGCTAACACGAACGGGAAAATGCTCATAAGACTTTCAAATACACAACCGACTTCTTGTCCACGACGTTTAAAGTATGTATTGGCTGGTCTCTTATGAAGGTCCCATTATTCAAGTTCTTCAAACGGGCTATTACCGTAACCATAAGCACTGAAAGGTTGGCGTCATTCTCGCCTACAATGCCATTAGTGGTATTGTAGGTGAGATGAAGGCCGTGTTTCCATGAACTGCATATGCATTGGCTAATTCCAGGAAAAATCAAATCCAAAAATTGGCACCGTGAATACTCGCGTAGTTTCCACGAATGAAAAATACCAAACAGAGCGTGACTGACCTTCCCGTCCAATCACAGTCGTCGCTGATGCGTCCCATGGCATTATCCGGCAGCTGGATGAGACTGACTAGTGAGATGAGAAGAAGGCCTTGAATTCGCTTCAATCGCCCGATCACGGAATCCACGATTGAGTGGTGCATATTCGACTCGAGGCTCGACTAGCCGTCGAGGTCGATGGAATCCCATCGCATGGCGAAACGCACCACAAGTAGGCAGGATGTCCTGTCAGATTACACGAGTACGAGGAAGAGAGAGATAAAGGCAGCACAAGCACTGTCAGACGTCACTGCGCGGACGGACCAGACTGGATTCTGATTCCGCTCGTACAGACTCAGGGCCGCGAAGCAACAGCGTCCAGTGTTGTCCGATCCGCTTAGTCAAACCAACTGCACGGCTCGCCCCGACTCGCTACGTCAGGGGTAAATAGCCTATGTTTCGTAATGGAAGTGTGGTTTCCTATGATTTCTATTGTGCCGGTTTTGAGGTGTGAGTACTCTATCTATATTGATATTTCTGCTGAATAATTTTTCGAGAACTAGGCTTTTTTTCTAGCAGAAAAAAAGTGTAGCTGTAAAAGTCTCACAAAACCAAAAACTTCTTAAAATGCTTAGTCTGGAGAAAATAACTAGGAAAAGAGGAAGCTTTGAAAATTTTGCAAGATTTCGGAAGGGATGCTGCATCTGACAACACTGTCAGTAAGTGCGCCCTCGTGCTCACGCTCTCTTTTCTTCGACACTCCGCAGCGAGTCCACTTTCATGGATTGATCGCTCGGAGAATCCTTTCTTGTCACTCATCACGCTAATCCGGAGATCTAGAGCTGAAAATCGACGGGCCGTTGTCCGTTCCTAAGTCGTTCCCACAGCATAGTTTTAGCGTATAGAAGGGGGAACTTGAATGCTGCCTCCCTTTGTTTTTCCCCGCGCTGTCGCATATAATAATAAATATCCCAAGTGGAAGCACTAACCCCAATATAACCCCAAAACAATGAGACAAAAGAGGAGACGGTCTGACCCACCTCGTCCTTGCCTGGCTGATGAATATTCCCCCGTGCACAAGGTCTCGTCTATTTGGGGGCTATCGTTTGTCCGATTCGCTTCATCGATACCACCACCCGACGATCGTGACGGTGAGGGGGGACCGGGCGCCTTCACGAATTCCTTTTCATCGGGTGGCGGACCGGGGCTCGTGGCATTCGTTCAAGGACATCGTCGTAATTAAGCATCATCGGCTCCTGTCGGACCCAGGAGTCGATTAATTTCTCGGTCCGATCGTTCGAGTCGCATTGCTCGGTTTCGTCCCATCGATGATTCCACAGCCCGTGCGTTCGATTCGAACCGAGATGAATTTCATTCGACGAGAAGATGGAGACGGATCGACTCCGTGTTGGTTTTATTTTCCATCCGCACGATGGCGCGGGTGGGAATCCCATGCTATAGACACACGGTGCAGGCCGAGGGAAGGTACGGGTGGGACTGGAATTCGGCAGCGAGGACTACCCTTCCCGTCTCGTTTTCCACTCCGGTTTCTTCGCGAATCCGAGGGCAAGGTTCACGTCGGACGATTCCGTGGTGGCGGTCCCACGGTGAATCCTCCTCGCTCGTAGGCCGAAACGCTTCGGCGTCCGAGTACGACTCCGACGGAGTGGACGAGGAAAGAAATTGCAGGAAACACTCGAAAGATACGGACCCAAGAGGGCCAGGATTCCAGTTTTTAATCCTTTCGTCCCCGTCGCTTCTCACCTCGTCTCGGTGGATGAGGACACGGAGGTCCGTCGGAGAGGGCGAGCGAAGGGATTACAACGGAGATAAGATGGGATTAGCATATAAAGGAAGGCGAAACCCCCGCCGAGAGACTGCCTTTTTTTTTCTTTCCAGACGTGTTTGGAATAGAAATGCAGCGCGGTTGCCCCTCGGGGGGGCTGGAAAACGTCCTTCTCTGTCCGGGTCTTTCGCGAACTTTGACCTCCGTGTCCATCCCCCCTCCCCTCTTCGGCCCGGGTATCGTATCTTCGACGTCCCTCCCTCCCTTCCTTCACTCGAACCCTACGGATGAGAGGTACGAGACCGTTTCGTGGAGCGACTCCCTCGTTTCGCGGAGAAGGGTTTCGTCGACCTCGGTCATCCGAGGCGCACTTTCCGTTTTCTTCTTTCGATCCGAGCGGTTCACCGTCTCGTACTGGCATCCGAGCGAACGCGGGGATGCACTTCGTCGGAGGAGAAAAAAATGCTCGAGACGAAAGTCTGCGACCCACTCGAACCGAAGTACGCCGGCCGCGAATCCCCGTACGAGATTCGCGTTCCCGCTTCGGGAACGAACCCGAGAGTTGCGGAGTCGCGCCCTTCTCGAAGCGGATCTCGTTTCCACGGAGGGGAGAAGCGAAATCGGACGAGGGCGAGGGCGGAAGAAAGACGGAATCTCTGGAAGAGGGTGCGGTCGCGAAGGAGGCACGAACTCCGCCACGCACTGCCTCGCTTTTCGTTCCTCTCGTCGATCCCCACCCGAGCGATCCGTCCGTCGGTCGACGGGACCCGAAACCTCGATGCGGTCGCCTCCGTTTCCTTCGCCTCTTTCCTCTCCGCGATCGGTTCTCGCTCCGAAGACCGAAGCGAGAGTGCGTTCGCCGGGCGCGTCCCGGCATCCTTCGATCGAGATCGGTCTTCCCGTCGATCCCGACTTCGCTCTCTCGTCTTCGAAGGAGCGGGCTCTTTTCGTTTGCAATCCTTCCCGCCTCGGCCTCTGCAAGCCGTTTCCTCGGACGGCCTCTGCCACCCGCGGACGAGTCTCTCGATCCCCGTCCGACGGCTCGTCGTCTCCGTCTCGATCCCCGTCCGACGGCTCGTCGTCTCCGTCTCGGACCGCCGTCCCGCTCTTCGCTCTTCCGGCTCTCGATCCGTCCCCTCCGGTTCGCACGACCGCGGAAGGCCGAGTCGGACGGGCGTCGAAATCCATCCGCGTCTCGGGGCTCTCGGACACCGAGACGGTGCCTTCCGAGTTGCCGGACGCGATCGTCACTCGTTCGGAGATTCCCGAGCGAACCCGCGAGACGGTCGTTTTTTACACCTCCGAGCGTTTTCTAGCGGGCGAAAAAGGCTCCACGGATTTTCGCTTCCTACCTCGCGAAAGCGACACGAAGATGCGGCGATCCGACTTCCGCGAGGAACCCCAAGGCGCTCGCGACCGTTCGCGTCGGCAAGGCACGGCGGCTCGCGACGAGCCGTCGTCGAGCGTCCGCCCGATCCGTCGGGTGTTCCACCGCGAGATGGGGGTCGGCCCGTCGATGCGATGCGACGATCGGCATCGCACGATGCCTCCGGTTCCGGGAAAGAGAAAGGAACGAGAAACAAAAGAGAGAAACATTTTAGGGAAGTTCGGAGGGGGAAGGAGAGAAAATGTTTGCTGTAGCCACCTTATCGGGGGCTTCACTACTTTCCTCACGTTTCCGAGGGAAGAAGAGAAGAGAACAACACCATTTGCCTGGAGGGGTCCCCTAATGAAACGTCTCGGACTCGGGGCCGTGGGGGCCCTCGGAGGCCCTCGGAGGCTCTCGGAGGCTCTCCACCCCCTCCGCCTCCTCCCCCTCGGCTCTCATGCCTCCAGCCACTCAAAATAAACAATCGCTCTGTCGAAAACCCCGCCGTAAATGAGTTTTCGTCTCCCTCTCGAAACCGATGGCTCGTCGACAGCTATACGAGCCGTTTCTCGAGGACGCGTGTGTACACTCCTTAAAACGGTTCGGATCGGAGGCGATTCCACCACCGAAGGAAAAGGAAAAAAAGGGCGATCGCGATGGAACGCTTGCCGGAATTTGAAGAAAACGGTCCCTGCAACTCACGGAATTCCTCACGATCTTCTGCCGTTTCACCCGACAGATCTCGTGAACGTTCCAGGAATCCTTTTGGCGAATAAAGTTGAGCCATTTCGATTCGCGAAATTCACGAAACGGTAAAAATAAAATGAAAACCAATTTTAAAAAGCTATTCCCCTTTCTCCAACCCCCCCCACCCCCGGGCCTTGGTGGTGGGCCTTGGACTGCCTCGAGGTCAGACCCAGACCCACCTCTCTTCGTCGAAAAGAATCTGAATCTTCGGAGCTCATAAGGGTTCGTCTCGGTGTTTTCCGAACGCGTTCTCGAGGCCGGTCGTGGACCTCCCACACGGAGGTACAAGATACGGTCGCATGCACCCCCGCGTGTGCACACCCGTTTCGCTATATACGCGCCGGACTCGGCCGGAAGGAGTCGAACGCCGCCGAAACGCGATGCGGACGAATGCATTCGGAGGACGTTTTAAACGAACGAGCCCACGCGTGGCCGTATACCGATGCGACGCATCTCGCTCCCGTAGGGGCCGTTTCGCGTCGAGTGGACCGTCGAGTCGAGGACGTGTCGCGTGAAGCCGATCGCGAGTTTCTCTCACCGTCTCCACGAGGTCCGAGGAGAGACCCTCGTGGGTCCGAGGAGAGACCCTCGTGGATCCGAGGAGAGACCCTCGTGGGTCCGAGAACGAAATGCATGCCGGGCGACGTCGTCGTCCAGGAAGTCCGAACACGATGCAGTGAAAACTCCTCGACTCCAATTTTTGGGGACCGGACGGATCCTTTCGAGTCGACCGAAGTTCCACGAGTGGGGAATCGCCTATACGTAGGGGAAAAAACGGTAAGGGATGTAAACAGAGGGCGATTTTTCCGTCCTCGAGGATCCGATTCGAAGGCTCGACGACCTCGTTAGAACTGGTTTTTATTCGTCTCGAGGGAAACACCGAGACGCCACGTATGAAAGGCGTCCGTCGTCACGCCCTTCGTCCGGTACTCTTCGGTTTCCTCTCGAGCGAGCCCGTTCCGACGGAAACGGCTTAAAAGAAGCGATACGACCGGAACGACACGAAGCGAGAGCGATCGACGGGAAGATCGCTCGAGAGTGCTTCTTTTTACGGTACGAGCTTTTCGCTTTCGATTCCCGGGTTCCATCCTCTCCGCGGGCGTCTGCGAAGGACGAGGAAGAAACGGAAAAATAAAAGAAGAGAAAGAAAAGGACTTCCAGAACGGGTTTCTCGTCTTTCGAAAGATCCATCGATGCCACGATCCATTTTTTTCCCCTTCGCAACCCGAATTCGAGTCGGCCGCGAGACGATCGTCGTCGGGAGTAAAAACGTCGTTCGAGACGTCCAGAAATTCCAGACGGGCGAGTTCGAGCGAGACGGAACGTCGAACACGGTGTCCTACGGCAGCGGCTCTCCACCTTTTCGATCCCGAGGCCCACTACGGACTTAAAAACGATGTCATTTTCGTTTTCGTCGAACCGTCGATTCCTATCTCGATATCGACGGATACTCGTCACG